CAGCCCACTCCAGCGCCTGCACCAGCGCTGGCACCAGCAGCGACGCCAGCACCCGCGCCGGCGCTCCCGCTGACACCAATGCCAGCGCCTCCACTAGCGGTGGCGCCACCACTGACGCCAACATCCACGCCCGGGCCTTACCCAGCAACAGCGCCAGCGCGTCCATCGGTGCCAGCGCCAACGCTGTCGCTTAGCCGGCACCAACGCCAGCGCCCACAGTGGCACCCACGCCCGCACCGACGCCAGCACTAATGCGGGCGCTTTCGCCAGCGCCAGCACCAGCGCCGTCGCCAGCGTCGACGCCTGCGCCTTCGCCAGCAGCACCAATGTCAGCACCGACGCCTGCATCAGCGCCTGCGCCTACGCCGGCACCACCACCATCGCCTACACCGGCGCCGATGACAGCAGGACGCCAGAGCCCAGGCTAGCGCCTACGTCGCCACAAACGCCTGCGCCTGCACCAGCACCGACGCCAGCACCGCCGACAGCCCAACGCCAGCGGCCCTACGCCGGCGCCGACGCCAGCACCGACGCCAGCACCGGCGCCAGCATCGTGTTTGCGCCAACGCCGGCTCGAACGGCTGCGCCTGCACCAGCACGAGCGCCAGCACCGAAGCCAGCACCAGCGCTGGCGTCTACGCCAGCGCCGACGCCAGCTCCGACGCCAGCGTCAACGCCTGCGCCCACGCCGTCACCAACGCCGTCGCCTGTTTCGAAGCCAGCACCAACGCACCAACGCCAGCACCTTCGCTGGCACCAGCGCCAGCGCCTGCACCAGCACCGACGTTTACACCGCACCGACGCAAGCACAATCGCCGGCGCCTACTACGCCGGCGCCGACGCCAGCTTCGACGCCGGCATCACCGCCTGCGCCTACACCGGCACCAACGCCAGCACCTACACCAGCGCCGGAGCCAGTTCCGAAGCAGTCAGCACCCACGCCAGCCTTACGCTGGCACCAGCGCCAGCGCCTGCATCGGCACCGACGGCAACGCTGGTGCCAGCACCCGCGCCAGCGCCTGCGCCACCCAGCAAAGCCGTCAGCACCGACGCCAGGCCAACCGCCGGCGCCGACGCCGGCACCAGTTCCAGCGCCTACACGAGCACCACGGCAGCACCGACGCCAGCAGGTACACTGGCGCCTTCGCCAGCGCTGACGTCAGCACCGACGCCAGCACCGACGCCAGCATCGACGCCATCTCGTTCCTGACAGTGCGAGCGGACCATGCCGCCAATTGCGGAGCGAGTGGCAGATGCTGCATGTTCCCGACTGCGACCTGGTGGGCCCGAGACTCTTTGAGCCGATGGCCGATAGCCTCCTGCACGGGACGGATTAGGTGGCTATGCATGGGAGCCAGCATACCGACGCAAGCACAATCGCCGGCGCCTACTACGCTGGCGCCGACGCCAGCTTCGACGCCGGCATCACCGCCTGCGCCTACACCGGCACCAACGCCAGCACCTACACCAGCGCCGGCGCCAGTTCCGAAGCAGTCAGCACCCACGCCAGTTTTCCGCTGGCACCAGCGCCAGCGCCTCCATCAGCACCGACGGCAACGCTGGTGCCAGCACCCGCGCCAGCGCCTGCGCCACCCAGCAAAGCCGTCAGCACCGACGCCAGGCCAACCGCCGGCGCCGACGCCGGCATCATTGCCAGCGCCTACACGAGCACCACGGCAGCACCGACGCCAGCAGGAACACTGGCGCCTTCGCCAGCGCCGGCGTCAGCACCGACGCCAGCACCGACGCCAGCATCGACGCCATCTCGTCCCTGAACGTGCGAGCGGACCATGCCGCCAATTGCGGAGCGAGTGGCAGATGCTGCATGTTCCCGACTGCGACCTGGTGGGCCCGAGACTCTTTGAGCCGATGGCCGATAGCCTCCTGCACGGGACGGAGTAGGTGGCTATGCATGGGAGCCAGCGCTTGTGCCAGCAGCATCGCCAGCGCCGGGACCTGCGAGTACCATCTGTCCGAGTGGGATGGCGAGCATTCTGGCACGGACCAGCGCTGTGACGTCAAGCAGGGCGACGCCGTGCAGCATGCTGGTGGCTGGGCGCGGGGGCGCTCCCAGCCGCGCCGGCTGCCTTGGGGGCCGTGAGCGGGCCTTCCTCCTCCTCCCCCTTGGCCTCCTCCCTCCCTGTTTCACCTGCCTTTTTAGTGCCACACGCTCGGCGCTTGCAGCTCGCCCTCCATTGCCTGCTGCGCGCCCGCGCTCGCCGAGGGGTGATCGGCGGGATGGCGACGTCGGCAGAGGTGGCCGGTCCTCTGATTCCCGACGACTGTTTTCTCCGGACGGGGTTCGACAGCCACTTCCCCCCGTGGAGGGTGGGACGCTCGGGAAAAAGTTTGTGTCCCGCAGAAAAAAGAAGAACACAAACAAACGAAGAAACACCACCAAACCGAACACATTACATGACAAGAGCAAAACAAAAACAGGTCTCTTGTTTTGTTGGCGGCCCACGCGCGAGCGGCCCCCTGCATGCGCCCGAGCGCCGTGCCATGGCTATGATCGGAAACGCTCTGACCCCCAGCTGGGGGCGCTCTGGGGTAGCTGCGGGTTCGCGCCTCCGCGGCCCAAACAGGAGTTACACCAGACCGCAGTTATCCCGGGCAGTTCGGGCGTAGAAGTCTGGGCAGATCAGGAGACGCCCCCGCCCCCCTGCTCTGGCTTCTGGGCTCGCCAGCCCCATTCCGCGCGGATCCGCTCCAAGAAGTGGATCTGAGCTCCGGTCCTCGATCATCGTGCCACGACAAAAGGGGACAAAGGCGGACTACGCGCTTCGGGCTTGCTCTTCGGCCGTCACAGTGTACGACGTTCCCCTCCTTGATGGTTAGGTCTTCTTCCAAAAAGCTGTGCCACGAAAAGGGGGTCCTGGTACGCACCCCCAAGGAGGGTCTATGGTGCGCTGCCCCCCCCCTCTGCATGGCCCCGCCCCGCCTCTTCGGCGCACCCCGAGCACGCTCAGGCCGCCGCCCGGGTGCCCGCGGCGAGCGGGTGGGCCAGCGGACTTTTCGACGCGCGGTCGTCATTCGGGCCGTGTGCCCCCCCCCGTGTCCTCTCCAGTCGGCGGCGAGCCCAGGGGGGGAAGCTGGAGGGGGCAGGTCTTCTCAGAAGGCTCGGAAGGCCAAGGGCCTTGTGAGGAGTGTCTGGTTGAGCCTTCCCCGAAGGCGCGGAAAGCTTCTCAGAAGGCGCGAGGGCGTCTGATCTGAGAAGCCCCGCCGCCTTCTGAGAACGCCTGCCCCATCTTCTCCTCCTCCTCCTCCTCCTCCTCTTCCTCCTCCTCCTCCTCCTCTTCCTCTTCCTCTTCCTCCTCCTCCTCCTCCTCTTCCTGCTCCTCCTCCTCCTCCTCCTCCTCCTCCTCCTCCTCCTCCTCCTTCCCCCCCGGGGGGCTCGCCGCCGACTCTGGGTAGGCCTCGCAAATGGTGTCCGAGTGGATGGGGTCGAAGGATGGCCCCGCATTGCCGATGCATCGGCGATGCGGCTCGATGTGGATCCCGAGTTCCTTCACGTCGACGTCGCCGATGCATCGCTGCCGTCGACGCCGATGCATCGCCGATGTAACGTCGATGCCTCGCGATCCTCCGACCGCATCTACTCGGACCCGAGGCCTCTAGCCTCCCCCTGGCCGATAGCGGCGGCGGGAAGGCCCAAATCGGAGGCCCCCAAACGGTGTGGTGACCACACTGGGTGGAGAATCCGTGGGGATTCGGGGTCGCCGCACGGTGTTTAGGGACTCGGGCCTTTCTCCTTCCGAGGACGCCTCGAGCGACTGCGGCGACCCCAGGGCACCCAAATCCGTTCGGTAGCTGACCGTGCGGTGAGGTCTTCTGGGAGGAGGAGGAGGTGGAGGAGGAGGAGGAGGAGCCCTGAACACCATCTTTCTGCGCCACTTGCAGAGCCGGATCGATCTGTGAGGGTCCCGTGGCCCGAAACACGAAGCCGCGCGGAAGTGCCCCCGTGTGAGAAAGTTGCAGCGCCAGGGTCTCAGGAGATTTTGAGGTCACCGCACGGTCCGTTCGGCGACCACAACGGGTGTGGTGACAGTGGGAATCCACGCCAAGAAGCACCCTGCTTGCCTCCAGGGTGCCCTGGGTTTCTTGGGTTTCGACGGTTTTGCTAGGTATAGAACGTGCCGTTCCCACACCAAACATCAATGGGCGTCCTGGAGTCTCAGGGTTGGGTTTCTTGTGGAAGGTTTCTTGTGGGCGAGCTCCTGCTGTACGCCCGGGTGTGGTTTGCGATCCGCGGCGTTGGAGCTCAGGGGGTCCCTACGCCTTACGCTGCGCCACCAAAGGTCCGACGAGCCCCCGCCGGGGCGCGGTAGAGATCTCCGAGGTCCCCCCCCCAGTGTGCGGGTTGCAGACCACATTTTTTTTGTTTTTTGAAAGACAGACCCAGACATGATAGCGCCGTAAAAACTGGAGGACGAAGGTTTTTCGCAGTTTTCGGCCTCTGGAGGCCCTCGCCGCGTCCCAGGACCGTCAAACAAAAAATCAGAATGAAAAACGGGTCCCGGGGAAACGGTCGGGGATTTCCAGGGACCGCGTATTGAAGAAAGCAGGACGTCGCATGCCTTGGAGAAATGGCATAAACATAAATTTTCGGAGCTCTACGCGGATTCCTTGGATCGGCGTTGCCACCCCCTCCTGGCCGCGCTTCCAGCGCCGCCCATGGCTCGCTCCGCGCGCCAGGGAGGGGGGGGTCCAGCGCCGATCCAAGGAGTCCTCGCGGAGATTCGAACGTTTTGGCTTATGAGCGTTCTTCTACTCTTGCAAACCATACCCTTCGGAGTCGCCGATCCGTTACCTCGCCTTCTCTGGGCCCCAACCTGATCTGGCCTCATCCCGCAGCCTGATCCCGCTCCGTCCGGCTGAACCCCGCTCAATCCGGCTTAATCCCGGGCTGCATCCGGCCCAATCTGGCTCAGTGGCTTCTCAGTCGGGCTTCGTGGCCTTCGATCGTTCTGGCGAGGACCTCCCGGGAGTCCCGGGCATGTGATGTTCTGATTCTTTCAATCTGCGGTTCCCGCAGGTCCCGACCCTTTCCCTGGGCCGGTTCTTGACCCCGTCTTCTGACGGCCCCTAGGCCCAGCGAGGGCCCCCCGAGGCCGAACTCGGCGGACCCCCCCCCGCCCTGAGTCCTTCACGACGCGAGCATGCCTGGAGCTGCCTCCCGACGCACCAATCGGTCACCACGCCGCCTCTGAGGCCCCCGAGCAGGACCGGCCACGCGCGCGGCCACCAAAAGGGAGGCCCCCGCAGCGGCGAGGCGGCCCGGGCCGCGGCGATCCCCGCCGAGCGTCGGCGTGGCGGGCCGCGGACCCCGGGCGCCGCCTCGGCGGCGGTCGCGGCGGGCTGCGCCTGCGCACCTGCGGCGCGCGCGGCGGGGCCGGCTCGCAGGGTGTCCTCGCAGCGCTGGCGGGTCGAGAGTTCCCTCCTCCTGCTCCTCCTGCTCCTTCTGCTCCTCCTGCTCCTCCTCCTCCTCCTCCTCCTCCTCCTCCTCCTCCTCCTCCTTCTCCTCCTCCTCCTGCTCCAGCTTCTCCTGCTGCTGGTCCTCCTTTCCTCCTCCTTCGCTCCCTCCGTCCCTCCCTCCCCTCACCTCCCCTCACCTCCCTGCCCCCACCTCCCCCCCACACACACCTCCACCGAGAGCAAACCCGCACACCCTCTCCCTCCTCCTCCTGCTCCTCCTCCTTCTCCTGCTCCTTTCCTTCTCTTGCTCCTCCTCCTCCTGCTCCTCCTGCTTCTCCTCCTCCACCTTCCCCTTCTCGGCGGCCTGCGGCGCGCACTTGTGCGCGTGCAGCTCGACCAACTCGCATCGTCCGCACATCTGGTGTCTCGGAAACATCGAGGCGGAGGTTCTTCATGGCGATCGGCCTCTCGGGGCCCTTCCCGGACCCCGGGCCGTAACAACAACGACTCGGGATGGAAAGCCCGCCCCAACGACTCGGGATAGAAAGCCCGCCCCGGGGTAGTGGTCAAGAGATCTGGGGCCGCGTCTCGAACAAACATCGGGACGCCGGATGTCTGGGTTGCCCACGTCGTTGACGAATCGAGAACTCTCCTCCACCATCCCTCCACCGCTTACCGGTGTCCCTCCTCCCTTCTCCTCCTCTTCCTTCCTCTTCGGCGGCGAAATCCGAACACTACCTCGCCGATCAACGATTCAGGCAACTCGATGGGCGTCGGGGGTAGGGCTTGGGATTCGTCGAACAGGAGGCAAACTCCGAATCCTATCCCCACCTCCCATCGATATAAGAGGATGATGGTTGGTGGGGTAGGGTTCGGATGTCGCCACCTACATCCTCTTCCTCCTCCTCTTCCTCCTCCTCTTCCTCTTCCTCCTCCTCCTCCTCCTCCTCCTCCTCCTCCTCCTCCTCCTCCTCCTCCTCCTCTACCATCCCGCTTCGTGGCGTGTGCGGCGCGCATACTTCTGCGCGCGCAGCTCGGCCAGTTCGCATCCCGCGGGCAGAAAGCAGATCCGCATCCCTCCAAACCCCCTTGCGTCGTTGAACAAAACGCGACGGAGAATTTGTCGCAAGTCTCGGCCTCCAGGGGCCCTCAATGGTGTCTGTGGGCTCAGCAGGCGGGGCACGGTGAAAAGATGGCCCTTGGTAAGGGGGGGGGCCTCCCTCCCTTCTCGAGAAGGGCGGGGGGGGGGGGAGAGCCTTTCTCTGCTCTTCGAGGGGGGGGGCTATGTCTTTCTCTCCCCTCCTCGAGAGGTCGAGAAGATGGCGGGAGGCACCCTCCTCGAGAGGAGGGAGGGCTCCTTCCCTCCACGAGGGGGGGAGGGGGGGTCCCTCCACTTCTCTCTCGGCCCCTCCCCCTCTCCTGGGCAGGGTTCCGATTCTCCCGGGGAGCACGCCGCGGAAAGAGCACGGCGTCGGGGATGCCCGCCGGGGCCCGCCCGCGGCCGGAGGGCTTCGCCTCCGAGGCCCGCAGGAGCTGGCGCCTCTTCCTCGGCGGAGGCCGGCGGAAGTGTAACGGAAGCCAGGAGGAGGAGGAGGAGGAGGAGGAGGAGGAGGAGGAGGAGGAGGGAGGAGGAGGAGGAGGAGGAGGAGGAGGAGGAGGAGGAAAAGGAGGAGGAGGGAGGAGAAAGAGGAGGAGGAGGAGGGGGAGGAGGAGGAGAAGGACGAGGAGAAGCCGGGGGTGAGGGTGCTCGGTCGCCATGGGGGAGGCGGGTCCTCAGGGAGACGGGTCCCGAGGTCTGTGGCCGTCTTCGGGCCCTCGGGGCCCTCCGCGGGCCCCGGGGGACCGTCAGAACGCTGCTCGGGATGGGGGGGCTCGTCCTGGGGGAAGGCCCCAGCTTCCAGGACCCGTTTCCCTCGGGACCCGCTTCCCCCAGGCGAACGAAGCTCAGGGGTGAGATTGTGAAGCCCAGGCCTAGCTTTCTGGCTCTCTCGCCTTTGGCCCGAGGCACCCTCAGCGCTCTCTGCGTCTGGTAAGCAGCAAGTGTCAGCGCCGAGACATCGGTAGGCCTCTAGGCCAGCCCACCGCAAGCCTTCCAGCCGACAGTTCGGGGGAGTAGCGACCTAACAAAAAGAAGGTCGGCGGAAGCCAGCGGAAGTGAAACGAGGGCGGCTCCGCCGGCGGAATGCCGGCGGAAGCAAAGGATGTGCCCCCAAGAGATGACATCGTCTTTGGGTTCAGGGTCTCTGGACTCGGCCATGTCCGTATCCACCACCTCGCGGGCTGGGCCCTTGGGCCGTGACCCCGCGGATACGCGGCGTTCTTGTTCGCGGATGCCCCGCGCGAACGGCTGCGTATCCGCGGGATCGCGCCCTGGAATCCAAGCCGAGGGGGCGGATACGGTACGGACATGCTCGCCGCTCGTGAGCATTGTACACACATCGTTGACGAGTCGAGAACGCCCCCCTCCTCCTCCTCCTCCTCCTCTCCTCCTCCTCCTCCTCCTTCCCCTCCTCCTCCTCCTCCTCCTCCTCCTCCTCCTCCTCCTCCTCCACTATCCTTGTTTCCCTGATGGCATTTCGCGTTCCGGTAGGGGCAGACATGACGACAGAGGAGTCCCACAGGGAGGGCGGGGAGCCCCATCGAGCTCGCCTGGTCCGGGAGCCGTTTCGCCCGAGGCCCTCTCGCGCTGTATTCAGGAACAGTGCTCTCGTCGCAATGCCGGTTGCATTTGTGATCATTTGTGGTCCGGACGGCCACGGTTCTTGGTAAGGAATACACTGCGGCGCGCATGGCTTCGCCTTGGCTGCTGGTAGGGTGCTTTACTGGGGCAGTCCTTCTAAGTAACTCTTCCATGGTTCTTGAGACCTCGCCACCATGTACCACCATGAGGCTTTCAGGTTTTAAGCAGTTACGCGGATTGAGACCGGTACCGTAATGGAATTCTCGCCTTGGCGCCGTGCACCTTGGTCATTAAAAGCTTGCAATAGCTAATTATACGGGTAGGAGCCGGCTTGATTTCCTTAAGCGGCTCTCGCCTGAAATTTCTTCTCATCAACATGTATTTCCACGAGTGTAGACGTGTACAACAGTTATTTTTGTAGAGAGCGGCTTCTCCTCTCTAAGTGGCATCTTCGCTGGACATCTCGTTGACGTCCATGGCCCTACCTCATTGCTTCCTCATCCCTCGCTGGTGGGAAGCAAGGCAGCTCCAGGTCAGAAGTGGGCTCCCGCCTGCATGGTGGCAGGCTCAGGTGGGGTGCTCGACTTGTGAGCTGGGCGCTGCTCGTAGTGAACAGGACTGTAGGGACTTGTGTTCAGTTGGGCATGACCCTCTACAGGAGGAAAATTCAACACAAATAAATGATTCGTAGAGCTACCCGAAGAGCGTTAGCGGCGAAGCTAGGAGAGTAATTCCGGCGCGCTGGGGGGCTAGTTGGCAAAACAATCTCGACGGAAGTTTTGCCTCTTTTTGACTCATGTAAATTATATTTCTCGAAATCCAACAATTCGTTAGAGCTCTAGTATGTTTTCCTTCATATTCTATATTATTCTCCCTCGCCATCTTAATCTCAGGTCGATCGGGTACCTACTACTGCCAAAAAGCACTGGGGCGGGATCGGCTGTTTTGTGTCATCTTGGCAGGTACTGTTGGTTTTCTGTACTTAACTCGAGCTGTAAGGTAGCTACAGAGCTGGTTGGCACACCTAATCGATCTAGAATCGTCAGGCGCGTAATTCTCAAGCATCTAGATCTCTGAAATCGGTCTGCTACCAGAGCTAGGTCAGCGAAGCTATTCGTACTGTACTATTTTTTGGAGATGATGATGAGTTTCTTGACTTAACTCGAGCTGCAGAGCAGCTACAGAGCTGTTCGGCACAGCAATCGGAAGGAAATTATCAGGCGCGCTAGTTTAAAGTATCTAGACGCCTGAACTCGGTCTGCTATCAGAGCTGGGTCCGACAAACTTCTCGTGCTCTGCTAGTTTCTTAGAGATGATGATAGTTTACTTGTCTTAACTCGAGCTGCAGATAAGCTACGGAGCTGTTCGGCACAGCAATCCGAAGGAAATCATCAGGCGCGCCAGCTCAACGTTTCTAGGCGCCTGACTCGGTCTGCTATCAGAGCTGGGTTCGAACAACTATTCGTTCTCTGCTAGTTTGTTAGAGATGATGATGGTTTTCTTGACTTATCTCGAGCTGCAGAGCAGCTCCAGAACTGTTCGGCGCAGCAATAATACGGAAATCATCCGGCGCGCTAGTCTAAAGTATCTAGACGCTGAACTCGGTCTGCTGTCAGAGCTGGGTTCGACACACTATTCGTACTCTGCTATTTTTTAGAGATGATGATGGTTTTCTTGGCTTAACTCCAGGTGGAGATGAGCTACATAGCTGTTAGTCACATCAGTCGAAAAGGGAATCATAAGAAACGCTAGTCTAAAGTATCTAGACGCCTGAATTCGGTCTGCTACCAGAGCTAGGTCAGAACAACTATTCGTACTTTGCTAAAGTTTAGAATGATGATAGTAACTTTAGGCACAGAATCGGAAGGAATTCATCAGACGCGCTAGTTTCAAGTATCCAGATGCCCGAAGTCGTGACGACTGGAACCAGAAAACTATTCGTACTGTATTATTTGTTTCCAGAGATGCTTTCTCCTCACTCCTTCTTCTCCTGCACGTCCTCCTCCATGAGACCGCGCCATCGCGCGCGCAATGCGAGATTGCCGCGCCCACAATGCACGAGGAAACTCTACGAGTTCCCGGCGGTAACCAAGGTTGACGGCTTACCGCCGGCTTCCAGTAACAATAGTCCGGGGAAAATGTTTGGATTTTTCACAAATTTGGGGCTATGTTTGATTTTTCGTCCAAAATCCGCATGTCGGAGGACATGCTCGACCTCAGACTTGTGGAGAGGGGGCTTGGGACTGGAGGCAGTACAGTCGACACTGATGGGAGGGATGAGCTACTTCCCAAGGGTACCACCCCTGCATCCTTGCCTCGTCGGTCCTCTTCGGTCCATCCTCAACTGGGTTCGATGGCCAGCCCCGCTCGAAGAGCCTCGGCATGGGCGTCCAAGGGGCTTGCGTTCTGATCGCGCGTCCTTACTATCAGATGTTATTGTATTTCACCGAGCGTATTGCACTACTGGCAGCGTACCCGATCGCAAACGTCTGGAAAGCACATGCTTGTTCCGATGCAATGGATGGTACTCCCCCTCTCGGCGGATCCAGGCCAGTTGCGAGTAGTTGGTTTGCAAGTTCTGGAATGCGTTTGCCCAGCGCTGCAGCATTGTTGACAAATCTGGGATGTACTTTGATTATCCTCCTCCTCCTCCTCCTGCTCCTCCTCCTCCTCCTCCTCCTCTTCCCCTTCCTTCCTTTTCCTCCTCCTCCTACTCCTCCTCCTCGTGCTCCTGCTTTTCCTCCTCCTCCTCCTCCTCCTCCTCCCTCGCCGAGCGGCCTCGGGAAGTCCCTCTGGAGATTCCCAGAAGGGTCAGAGCAGCGCCAGGAGCGCCCAGACACTTGGAGCCTCGATGCTCCTCCCCTGCCTCCACTCCTCGATCCTCGATCCTCTATCCCCTTCGCTCCCCAGACACGGTCGCTTGGTTTTTTTGTTAAACAAAAAACAAAAAAAACATGACGGAGGTTCTTCGCCGTTTTTGGCCTCTGGGGGCCCTCGCCAGGCCCCGGGGCCGTCAAACAACGACTCAGGGCGAAAAGCCGGTCCCGGGGAAAGGGTCGGGACTTCGGGGACGTCGTATTGAAAAAAACAGGACGCCGCAAGTCTGGGTCCCTCACTCCTCCTAATTAATATTCCTCCGCCCCCATCCGGAATGGTCGTCAGCGTGGAGCCCAAGCAGTGAGATGTTGCACTGTGGCTGTGGAAACACGCAGTCTGATCCATGAGGTGTCACCTATGTGGCGTAATCTATGTGGCGCAATCTCTGCGGTGTATTCTACGTGGTGTGAGCTATGCGGTGTAAGCTATGTGGTGCAATCTATGTTGCATAAGCTATGCCTTGTACGCAATGTGGTGAATCGCAGGTGGTGCAGCCTCCGTGGTGTGAGCTGTGTGGTGTAAGCTATGTGTTTCAATCAGAGCATAGGTGATGTGTAATACAGATGTGGTGGGAGCTATGTGGTGTAAGCTACGCGGTGCAGTCGATGTGGTACGAGCTATGGTATATGAACAATGCGTCGCACGATACGGGGTACACTCTATTCGGTATGCGTTGCGAGGTGTATGCTAGGTGGTGCAATAGTCGTGTAACCTATATGGTGCGAGCTATGTGGTTGGTGCAATATAGGTGGTGCAACAGACGCAGGGCAGCACATTTGGAGCGTGAGCTATGTGGTGTCAACTGCGTGGTGCAGTCGATGTCGCGCAGGCTATGATGAGTGAGCTGCGTAGTCCAAGCTGTGCTTTGCAGACCAATGGTGCAACCTATGCAGTGCAGTGTCGAACGGTCTTCGGCACAACCCGCCACCGTGCCCAGGCTGTGGCCCTGTGGGGCCTCTTGGGAGGAGCCGCCTGGCGGCTTTTGAGGGCGTTCTGGGGGCCTCTTGGGAGGGCCCTTTGGGGGACATTCGGGGGCCTCTTCGGGCTTCCTCAGGGCGTTTGGGGGGGGGGCCTCTTCGGGGCCCTTGGCGGCCTCTTGGGGGCCGCTGGGGGCCTCCTTGGGGCCTCCTATGGGTCGAGGGCTTGGGAAGATCCACTCGGGTCCCCCGGGCCGTCCTTGGGGGCCTCTTTGGGCCGTCTTGGGCGCCTCTTGGGCCGTCTTTGGGCCCCCTTGGGCCTCTTCGGGGGCCTCCTTCTTGGGGGGCATCTTGGGCCGCCTTGGCCAGCTTGGGCGTCTCGGACCGATCGCGTGGCGACTCGAGGTCCTCCGAGACCCGTCTCGGGCTTCTCTTGGGGCCCTCGCTGGGCCGAGCCACCCCTGCGGGAAGACGCCCCGGGCCCCGGGGGGGCCACGCGGCGCGCCCCCGGAGACGCGGCAATGTCGTGCACGGGCGGCAGCGTGGCGAAGCCTCGGCGGAGGAGGAGGAGGAGGAGGAGGAGGAGGAGGAGGAGGAGGAGGAGGAGGAGGGACCCACCCGGCGCCCGGGCCGCCCACGGGCCGCAGCGCGGCGGAACTCGGCGGGCCCACGCAGCGCACGGGGCGCCCACGGGGCGGCCACGGGCGGCCGCGTGGCCGTCCGGGTTTGCGTTGCCCGTCGTTCCGCCATGCGGAAAGGGCAAAGTATGGGAATGCGTTTCCCGTAAGTCACCACCCACCAAACCACCCCAACCCAACCCGAAGGCTCAGATTTACCCTCGATTTCTAGTGGGGGGGGGTCCGGGAACATCGAAAAAACACATATGGAGCCCATACCCCCCCCAACCCGAAATTCGGGTCTTCGGGTTGGGTTGGGGTGGTCTGGTAGGTAGTCAGTAAGTCAACAATTTGGAAAGGGCAGATGGGAAACGCAATCCCGGACGACCTGCCCGGCGGACACCCCAGGCGCGGTGGGCGGCAGCCAGGCGCTCACGGGCGTCAGCGTGGCGAAGTTTCCGCGGACCCGTCCAGCTCTTCGGGGAGACACGCAGGAACCCCTAGGTGCAGGTATTGTTCAGGGACAAGTGATCGAAGGAGGGGGGACACGAGGGTGACGAGGGAGGGAGGGACGGAGAGAGGATGAGGAGATAGAGGAGGGGGGGGGACAGGAAAAGGGAGAGGAGGGGGAAGGAGGAGGGGGAAGGCATTTCCTCCCTCTGACCCTTCCTCCGTTTGTGCTATTCCCACATCCTTCCTCCATCTTCGCCACCGCCATCATCGGCGTCATCATGTAGCCATTTTGACACCCGCCCGCGGGCAGTCCATCAGCATTCAGTATTCTCTGTCCTCTTGCCCTCCTTCGCCTTCCTGTTTATGGCCACCCCCACAGTGGCCGACCGGCCAGGAGATCGGCTCACGGAAAAAGAACTACAAGTTCCTCCTGCTGCAGTGGCACCCGGACAAGAACCCGGACAAGGCCCGAGCCCAGGGAGGAGGAGGGAGGAGGAGAGGAGGAGTGGAGGAAAGGAGGAGCGGCGAGGACGCGGAGGAGGGGAGGGAGGAGGATGAGGACGAGGACCAGTGTAAACCTAAGACGCATCAGCGATGTTGCAGTCATCCTCCCCTCCAAGTTCCCACTTCATAGGTCCCTAGAAGTTGTTGTTTTCGTTACGGGAAGTGGACAATCAGGAGACAACCGTCTGATAATCCGCAATCGTGTCAAACACCATTCTTTCGACCTCAACGCCGCGGATCAACGTGACTGTTGCGTCCTGATACTCCTGAATCGTGCCAGAACCCCGTTCTTGGGACGTCAACACAGCGAATCAACATGACTGTTGCGTCCTGACACTCACAATTCGCTCCAGAACACCATTCCTGGACCGAATCCTTGCGTTCGCTTTGAAATCTTAAAGCGCATGTGCGCTGTGCTAAACCGAGAGCCACACTTTGAAAAGGAACAGCCCTCCATCCGCGAAACTGCTGCAAACTTTTAAGACGAATGTGCGGGGCCCTGAGGCGAGAGTTACACTTTGAGAACCAACCGCCCTCCATCCGTGAAACGGCCGGACCTTCCAAGACGAATCTGCGAAGCGCTGGGGCGAGAGCCACTTTTTGAAAATGAGCCGCAATCCATCTGGGAAGATGTTGCACACTTTCAAGACGAATGTGCGCGGCACTTTGTCGAGAGCCACATTTTGAAAACGAGCCGCCCTCCATCCATGAAACCGTTGCAAATTCCAAGCTTCGGTATCACACATGGGGAGGGTCTCATGCGAAACGCCCGGCCCGCCCTGCCAACACGTCATGGGACGCAGCAAGGAGGAGCCATTCATACGGAACAGGGTTGGATGGGGAGGAGGAGGAGGAATCAGGAGGAGAAGGAGGAGGACGAGAAGGAGGAGTACCCTTGAGAGGATGAGCTGGAGCAGGAGAGGGAGGAAAAGCGAGGAGGAGGTCGAGTGAGGTGGGGGGAGGAGGAGGACCGAGACCCCCTCCTGTCGCGAACAAAAAAATGACGACGGTAGGCTTCTGGCCGTGTCCGGCCCAGGGAGCGCAGACTGCCTGTATGTTTGCGTGCCCCCGGAGACTGCAGAGGCGGATTGCGCGGAGCCGCTCTTGGCATGCACTCTGCACGCAATCTCGCTGATGCTCACGGATCCTCCATCCCGTCGTCATTTCATCGTCCAGCTTGTGGCGTTTGACACGGCGAGTGTCCGCACGGTGCCCGCCGAATTCGATGGAACGTCCCCGAGGGGGCAGGCACCGCTGCCGAGTTTCTCTGGGCCTGTCGCCTCTGCCTCGGAAGCGAAGGGCCGTGCGCGCATCGAAGCCGAGGAGGGCACGGAGGACGGGGGCGAGGGGGGCGAGGCGGAGGGGGCCGGGGAGGACGGAGTGCTGGCAGGACGGAGGAGGCCCAGGAGGAGCGGACGGAAGCAGAGGTGGGGCTCGAAGATGCGGGAGTGGCGGTGGAAGGGCCACAGGAGGAGAAGGGGAGTGAGAGGCGGAGAAGGAGAACGAGGAGGTGCACGAGGATGGAGAGGAGGGGTGGTTGACGAGGGGGCGGAGGAGGAGGAGGAGGAGGAGGAGGAAGAAGAAGAAGAAGAAGAAGAAGAAGAATTTGAATAATAATAATAATATTAATAATAATAATAATAATAACAATAATAATATTAATAATAATAATACTAAGAATAAAAGAAGAGGAGGAGGAGGAGGAGGAGGAGGAGGAGGAGGAGGAGGAGGAGGAGGAGGCGGAAAAGGAGGAGGAGGAGGCGGAGGAGGAGGAGGAGGAAGAAGAGGAGGAGGAGGAGGAGGAAGAGGAGTGTCAGGAGGATCGGCAGCAGCTGGAGAAGGGGTTGACGAGGAGGGGGGGAATGCGAGTGAGGTGCGAGAAGGTGGGCGAGGGGCTTGTGAAGCGAATGGGAAGGATGAGGGCATGGTGGAGGAGGGGAATCAGTAGTGGCAGGTGCATGTGGATGTTCAGATTGAGGAGGTGGAGGAGGAATATAAGAGTGGCGACGACGACCACCATAATCTACGACGGTGACGACGACCACAAAGACATCAACGACGATGGCAACGAAGGCGCAGACCTCAACGACAACCACGATGACGGGTTGAACGCCCCTGAAGGGACAGACATTGGTGGCCCATTTCTGTCGAACATGGTCGCTGTGATGCAAACGTTTCCAGATGAAATGGCCGTGAACAGATTCGGGAGGCATGGGGGAAACAGAAGAGAGCTACGTAAAGAGGTGTCCAATACGGCCCCAGAGGGCTGGAGAACTTCTCATAACCAGCGAGGAGGACCCCCAAGAGTCTTCAAAATCAGCTCGAACAAAGACACCCAAAGCTGACCCACGCGGCGGACGAGAGCACAGGAGACAGACAGGGGCAAACATGGCCTGAGCATATTACACGCCGGTCGTTGGAAGTAGATATTTTTGGATTCCCAAATCCTAGTTTACTCTAAGCGCCTTCCTACTTCAAGAATCGGCATGCGCTTGCTGTGTTTTGTTATTCTCTGGGAGGGCCTGGGCCCAATCTACTTTATCCGCCTTCCCACTTCGTGCGTTTACCTACATCTTCCGACCGACGTGTAATTCTTGACACATTGCAAGGGTCTCCAAGGGGGCCGGGGGCGTCCAGGACGGTTCGAAAGCCCTCCTAGAGGTTGGTCAGATGGTCCCAAATAGTTCCGAAATGCTTTCAGGACGGCCCAAGAGGCCTCCAAGCTATACCAAGGTGACCAGACATACCCACAGACTGCCACCAGAGGCTCCAACAGACGTCGGGCTCCAAGAGACGTCAAACGTCCGAAAAGTAAGGCCGAGACCGCCCAAAATCTTCAAATCCAGCGGGTGTTCGAAGGTTGTTCGGATTTTTTCGGCCCAAGATGATTCGAAGAGGGCTTCATAAGTATTCGGGACGGCCCAAAAGGGCCCAAATAACGGGCTAACTTGGCGCAGGATGGCTTCAAGAGGCCCCCAAAACAGCCCAGGAGGGCCTGCAGAGAGGCCCCAGACGGCGTCTGCAGGCGTGTGGAGTTCGCCGCGCGAAGAGGAGCCAGCGTTGGAGGCAAGGTGGCGGGCAGCCCGCGGCCAGGGCGCAAGGGTGGGCGCAACGAGCAGGCCGCGGAGGGGGTTCTAGGGCCCATAGGAAAGAGTGAATATTATCAGGCGAGCCTTAAGTCTGGCGTGTTCCTCAACAGGAAGAATATATATATATATATATACATATATATATATATATATATATATATATATATCAAATAACAAAACATTGTATTCGGACGGTCTTTAAACAGTTAAGCATTTTTCATCTGAAATCCGCATGTTGCAGGACATGCCCGACCTAAGGCGAGCCAGATTTCACGATACCTTAAAAAACGCTCCAGAGGGGCCGCTGCGTTGGCTACATCCTCCAGAGCCACCGGATCTGATAGAATCCCCGATCTGTTCCTAGCCAGTTTGGGCCCTGTCCTGGCTTCGTATTGAAGCGCGTAGGCCAAAGGATCTATCCCATGGAGCCAGCATCGCAGGGCGGATTTCGTTCGGAAAGCAATCGGATGGGCCCAGAGTGTCCTGAAGAATTTCGTTCCGGATTTCGAAGTCAATTTCGTGCGTGCTTCTTTCTGCCAGGAATGAAGACCTCAAACAACCCACGCGCAATTCACCCCGTTTTTCGCTCGCCGTTTCGGGGTTTTTGCATCGGCATATCCACGCAAAAGTCCGCTGCAATATGTCCTGCAAGGTCGGCGCGGCGAGATATATCAAGCGAGCGGCAGAAGCAATCCTTGCAGACCCTTGCGGGAGCCCTCGCACGAGGTGCCAGTGGGGTGGGGGAGCGGGGGTGCCGCTCAGGCTCGCTCCGCCGGCCCAGATTGTGTCATCCAGGCCGGTGGATTGTATTGCCCGTCGGCACCAGGATAAAGTCGGGCACGTCCCTTGACAGGAGGAAAGTCCCCCCCAAAGAACAGATGTCTGGGGACGGTTTTTGGTTTTCTGTACTAACTCTTTTGGAATGTGTTTAGGTTGTTTGTAAGTTTTCGTCCAACATCCCCCTGCAGGAGGACACGCCCGACCTAACACTAGGAGTTGTTGCGTGGTGGTGCGGCCAGGAACTTTGGCTTGGCGTGTCGCGCCGCCGACTCCGGCCCACCGCGCCCCAGCGCGACACATGATCCACGTCGCGGCCCCCGAGCATCCACATCCCGAGCTCTTCCAGGCCTCCGGCCCGCGGGGCAGAGCGACATGCTGTCCGCTTGCACGGTGTAGCGTGTCACCGGGGCCGCCGCCGCGACACGCGAAGCCAAAGTTCCCGACTGTAGCATCCCGAAACTGTCGTGTGAAGCTCGCGCGGGGGAGGAGCAGTCGCTTGGCCTATCGAGTGCAACACTCAACGGAACACGTTGCCGCCCAAATTTCAGCACTGGAGCTCAAAAACACGAGGTGACAATGAAAACATTCGTGGGATGTCGGAGCATTCTGGGTGACTGTTGGGGGTTCCAGGGAGGCTTCAGACGGCCTCTTGTGGCCTGTTCTTGCATATTGTTCCACTTGCTTACTTCGTCTACGCATGCTGCAGCCAGGCGGTGGTTTCAGTCGGCCAATCAATCGTAAAACGGAGGAGCATAATCAGGAGGAAGGGGCAGGATGAGGATGAGTAGGATGTGCCTGAATCGGCTGAAGCAACAGGCCTTAGTCTCATACGCGGCGTGCAAGGGAAGATAAGGAGGGAGGGGAGGAGGGAGGAGGGGGTGAGGAGGAGGAGGAGGAGGAGGAGGAGGACGGAAGAGGATGAGGAGAGGAGGAGGAGAGAGGAGGAGGGGGATGAGGAGGAAGGAGGAGGAGGAGGAGAAGGAGAAGGAGGAGAAGAAGGAGGGAGGCAACGAGTGGAGGACAAGGCGGAGAAGCGGAGGAGAGAGGAGTAGGGAGGACGAGGATGGAGCAGGAGGGAGAAGGAGGACGACGAGGCCGAGTTGGCCACGGAGATCTTCCAGTTCCTGCAGCAGCAGCGGGACTGGTACCTGAAGGATCGAGGGCTGCCAGCTCGAGGGGAGGGGAGGGCCTCCGCCTCCCGCTGCTGCTGTTCTCCCCTCTCTCTCTCTCTCGCTCGCCTCCTCCAGTCCCTCCTCCTCCTCCTCCTCCTCCTCCTCCTCCTCCTCCTCCTCCATCCCCTCCCTCGGGCCACGTCCTGGGGCGAGGGAGGGGGCCGGGGAGCCTTGGCCCATGGCCCGGAGGTGTGCACCCTCTTTTTCTCTCTGGCGAGGGCCCTCGAGGGGGGCATCCTGGCTCATCCTGCGAGGAGGAGAGCAGCTTCGCGCACGCAGCCGGGCCAAAGGCACGGGGGATGGACGTCCGCGCGGCGGCACCGAGCAGGTGGATGGGGGGGGGGGGGGGGCAGGGCGGCGGGGAGTGGACGGGGATGGGCGGGATCTGCGGAGGGGCGGGGTGCCAGATCTGGCCGGGCCCTGTCTTCGCCCTCCCCCGCGCTGCTGCTGGGCTCCTCGCGCTGCCTCTCCTCCTCCTCCGCCTCACCTCGCTCCTCCTCCTCGTCGTCGTCCTGCGTGCTCCTTCTGCCCCGTGATCCGGCTCCCTCCCCCCGCGCCCACTCCTGCCCCTGCTCTCCCGCGACTCTCGAGGTGGGAGAGGGGTGTGGTGTGAAGGGGTGCCGATGTCATGTAGAGGGGGATTTGGCGATGTTATCCATCGTAGATAAGATTGCCATCCCCACGATTGTCACCACGCCCCTCTACGCCGCTCCCCTTCCCGACCTCCCAAGCTACAGTCAACCCGCATAGTAAGGATGGACAACCTTCCCAAGGGTATCCTCGCATCCTTGCCTTCTCGGCCCATCGTTGGCCGCGGCCCGCTCGAAAAGCTTCGAAATGGGCGTCCAAGGCCCTTGCATCCTTATCGCGCATCCTTACTGCACGGGCTGACTGTACTGTCCGCATCGCCTATCCTTGCATACTCCCATGGCCTTCGCTCTCGCCCCGGCAGGGGCCGCCAGCGGGCCCCTTCCTTTCCTGCCCGCTGGGAAGCGGCAGCACATTTGAGGAGGACCCTCCTCCTCCTCCCTCTCCTCCTCCTCCTCCCTCCTCCTCCTCCCTCCTCCTCCTCCTCCTCCTCCTCCTCCTCCTCCTCCTCCTCCCTCCTCCTCCCCTCCTCCTCCTCCTCCTCCTCCTCTCCTTCCTCCTCTTCCCTCCTCTTCCTCCCTCCTCCTCCCTCCCCCTCCTCCTCCTCCTCCTCCTTTCTCCTCCTCCTCCTCCTCCTCCTCCTCCCTCCTTCCTCCCTCCTCTCCTCCTCCCTCCTCCTCCGTCCTCCTCCTCCTCCTCCTCCGTCGTCCTCCTCCTCCTCCTCCTCCTCCTCCTCCTCCACTTCCTCCTCTCTCCCTCCTCCTCCCTCCTCCTCCTCCTCCTCCTCCCCTCCTCCTCCTCCTCCTCCTCCTCCTTTCTCCTCCCTCCTCCTCCTCCTCCTCCTCCTCCTCCTCCTCCTCCTCCTCCTCGGGTAGGGCCTTGCGGACGGGCATCGCAGGGGCCAGGATGGCCGGCGCGGTGCGGTCTCGTGGCGTGCTTGCCAGGCAAGGACGCGCCAGCGAAAGCGGCGTGGCACGAAGCGCGGTGCCCTGAGATCCTGGCGTTGCAGTTTCTTTACCACGGGCGTCTTTGCCCAGGCTTGGGCCCCGGGACCCTCACAGATCGATCGAGCTTTGGGGTCCAGGGCTTTCGGCGTGATTGTTTGCGATGTTGTAATTTGTTCGCAACCTCGGATCTCAGGGTGATGCGACAGGTCGCCAGCTGCTGTAACGTCAAGGATTCGCGAGTGCACGAGTGACTGCCAACGCTTGCCCCCCTGGCCCGACGCTAACCGACGCTAATTCGGCGCTATTTCATCGACTCCCAGACGCTAATCGACGCTAAAGACGGAATTGAAAGGGTATACCAGGCGCCCATGATTTGCCACCGAACCTCCAGGCGCTCGCAGCGCGACATGGGGCGGCGGCGGGTCGGCCGACGCAGCCGCAGCCCGAGCCGCAGCCCGAGCCGCCGCAGGCCGAGCCCGAGCCACAGCCGCTCCTCTGTGGACATCTGCGCAGCGCTGGGGCGCTGCGCAGCGCCTCGCCTTCTCGCAGGCGGGCCCCGATTCGATGGGCCGGTGCGGCGTGTCTTCGCAGTGGTGCGCCGCTTCCAAACAACGCGCCGCGCGCTCGCGAGGGCAGCGTGTCGCTCTCTCACGCGCGCCCGCGCGATGCGCACCCGGCCTGGCTTCCGCCACGCGGCCCTGCACCGCCGAACGCACCACGCCCACAGTTCCCCCTCCGCCAGCAGGCCCCGGTGGCAGCCTGCGTGCACGCCGAGAAGGGGCAGGGAGTGGCACGCGCGCGCGAGAGCCCGAGAGGCGGCTCCTCGTCGAAGAGCACCGCCGTCTGGCGCGAGTGCCCGTCGTCGGCGGCGCGCGCAGGGGAGGTATCGCGCGAGGGGGAGGAGGAGGAGGAGGAGGAGGAGGAGGAGGAGGAGGAGGAGGAGGAGGAGGAGGAGGAGTTGTCGACCCCTGATGTCGTCTTTTCCCTCCCGTGCACCGCTTCTCTGGACCCGCCTGCCCTGCCTAGTTTTCCCCATGTGCTTGGAATCGGCAGCGAACTCTGATGCCATTATGTTGTGAGTGAGTGAGTGCGTGCGTGCGTGAGTTGGTGTGCGAGGAAGTGTGGAGGAGGCGGAGGAGGAGGAGGAGGAGGAGGCGGAGGAGGAGGAGGAGGAGGTGGAGTTGTCGACCCCTGATGTCGTCTCTTCCCTCCAATCGGCAGCGAACTCAGATGCCGTTGTGTTGTGAGTGAGTGAGTGAGTGAGTGAGTGAGTGAGTGAGTGAGTGAGTGAGTGAGTGAGTGAGTGAGTGAGTGAGTGAGTGAGTGAGTGAGGAAGTGAGTAAGTGAGGAAGTGAGTGAGTGAGGAAGTGAGGACGAGGAGGAGGAGGAGGCGGAGGAGCAGGAGGCGGAGGAGGAGGGCTCAGGGTGCTGTGTGGGAGGAGGAGCAGGGCCCTCCCTCGCCTCTCTGCAGCCCCCTGGTCCCCCCGACAGGAGTGACCCCCGCCGCCCGCGCGACGCGCCGCCCGAGGCGGCGCGCCGTCCGGCTCTGCGCCGCCGGGGGGGGCCTGGGGGGAGAGGGGGCGCGACGCTCGAGCAGAGAGCACGAGCGCAGCTGGCGGGAAGAGGCATGGGGCGAGGAGGCCTTTTTACTCCTCCTCCTCCTCCTCCTCCTCCTACTCCTCCTCGTAGTCCTCCTACTCCTTCTCCTCCTCCTCCTCCTCCTCCTCCTCCTCCTCCTCCTCGTACTCCTCTTCCTCCTCCTCCTCGTACTCCTCTTCCTCCTCTTCTTCTCTTCCTCCTCCTCCTCCTCCTCCTCCTCCTCCTCCTCCTCCTCCTCCTCCTCCTCCTCCTCCTCCTCCCCCCTCCTCCTCCGCCTCCTCCTCCGCCTCCTCCTCCTCCTCCTCCTCCTCCTCCTCCTCCTCCTCCTCCTCCTCCTCCTCCTCCTCCTCCTCCTCCTCAAAGCACTGCAGAAGAACATGGTCATCCATGAACGCCAATCGAGAGAAGAACAAACAAATTACGCCAACTCAACACGCCTGGTCGAGCAGGCGGCAGCCTTCCGGGACCCAGGCATGAAACCTTGGATCAGTTGCTTAAGGGTACGACCTCCGTGCTCGCTGGGCTTGCCATTGCAAGGGGCGAGGAGCGGGGCCAAGATTCGATTACTGGCACCGTTCCCACAGGCTTCACATACCACGACGGGGTGGGACGGGGCAGGGGTACCAGAGGAGAGGGCCACTTCGAGGAGCCTGTGCGGTCGGTGGCCTTCAGCAGCAAGAGCCCGCGACGCCGTGACGGCCCTCGGGAGGACGCTCCCCCCGCACACTCCTCCAGGTGTAACCCCCACACACCGACAGACACGGCACCACACGGCACCGCCCGCAGACACCACCGAGTGCACAACTTTGGGTTCGCACAACTGGAGGGTGGGGGCAGAGCGCTTGAAGGTCTTCTTATGAGTGGTGTCGTGGTCGGCAGCCACGTGGGCGCCACGGCTCCAGCCATAGCAATCCAGAGCCCGACTCCCAGCACAAACTGATTGCATTGCTGGAAGCGAGAGAGCAGGGCGGGCGGCGCGCGGTGGGGCCGCACGGCCTCCTTGGCCGCATCGTCGGCCATGCCATTACCAGTGCGGTCGATGTCTCGCACACGGCCTGCCTGGACGTCGGCGACGGTCGCATGAGCTTTGATTTTCGAGACCAACAAGCCCAGGGGGTCCAAGCCCCCGAACTCGTCTAAAAGCCTCCAAAACCTCCTCCACAGGTGGGCCCAAGCCGCCTTGGGGTGGGTGGTGGCGGCCTCGCCCCTCTCCAGGATCCCCTTGACGACAAAATGTGACAAAATCGGAATCCGAATAAACGTGGATAGGAGGCATAGAGGAAATCAGAACACGCATGATGGCGAGAAGCTCGGCCCCGTCGATATCAGTGACGGGCTCGCACAAGAGGCCAGTAACCTTGGCATTCACACGCTGCTGGGGGGTGCCGGGGCCATCTCCGATGGACACGAGCGCCCATCCACAAACGCACAAATCGGGAAACTGGGATTCAAAAGCCGTGCCGTCCACATAAACGCTGGGCCCTTCAACAATCCCCGAGCCACGGACCCAAGTGACGTGCTCGCCCTGGGGAGGTTGGAAGGCGTGGAGCGGAAAAGGCCAGAGACACCTTTCCACAAGCACGACGACCGGCGGCATATCTTCCCGCGGCACAAGGTTGGCGACGGCAGACGGCATCTCTAGGTTAGGCCACGACGTGCTGCACAAGAGGTGGCGATGCCAGAGCGAGCCTCGAGGCGCCTGGCATTTTAAACAAGCTGCCGAAGCTGAATTACCGACTGCGGCTTTCCGAACCATGGGCCACTGCCCGTTGACGATGACGCTTCGGAGGTAGGCTCTCTCGCTCACCTGGAGCGCGCGGTACACGTCAGCCAGGGAACGAGGGGGTCTACCTCGGGAGGTGAGGCGCCGCAGGAGGGCCAAATTGCACCCGGCGTGCAAATGCTCTAAGCCCTCGCCCGCGGCGACCTGAGACCACTGCCAAGCTTCGACCGCCTGGCCGACGAGCTTCAAAATCGTGCGAGGACACAGCTGCGAGAAATCGATGAGCACCCCCTTGTGGGAGCGCCACACAGGAAACTTGTGCAGCGTCCAACCGAGGCGCGCGAGGATTAGCACCAAGGCGCCTCCAGGTCCCTTGACCTGGGCCCAGGTCTGGACGTGCTGACTGGCCCACGTGCACACGGTGGCTAAAACATGCTTCGGCAGCCACGTCTGCCAGAGGGCCGAAGCCATCGCTTCAACAGGAGCCCTGGCGGCCCTGAACGCGGGATCAAGCTGGCCTCGGCCCTGCAGCATCAGGCTGAGCGTGCGGCTCTTGCCAGCGGTGCGAGGCTCGCACGCGCGAAAAACAATGGTGCGTGCAATGCTTAATTGCTGATTGGTGAGGCCAGTGCAATCGACCCCGTACTGGAACGAAGCTTGCAGGCCAGCTTGGGCGACCCTCTGGGTAGCCCGGGCCTGCGCACCTTTCACATGGAACTTTCTCACCCTGGGCACCCGCGCGCGCGAGCTTCAGACGACCAGCTCGCACTGTCGAGCGAACGCGTTGCCCAGCAACAACATCGATGCCTAGATTTCGTTCTGCCGCCTTGGCCTCGCCCCCGAGCTTTCGACGGACGCCCGCCAGCACACGCGCGCGGACTTCAGGGCTATTGGCTAAAACGGCAGTTTTCTTACGAGAGACGGACAGGCACTGCTCAACCAAACCATCGGCAAGGGCGTTGGACGACTGCGCGAGATCATGGACGACGCGACCCTTCTCACCCTGCCGCTGGAGGATGAGATCGTCAACAACAACTGCAGCCTGGACACGCGGGCAAAGCTTGAACATATCATCCAAGGGTTTGAGGAGGATGAGGCGAACGAGGGTGGTGGCAGGGCCGTGCCCAGGGAGCACCGCCTGGAGCGTGCTCACGGGGCTGGACACAACACTCTGCAAAGTAAGATACCTCGGAGCCCGATACAGCTGGATACAACGTTTTAGCTGCCAGAGCGGGCAACCGTAAAACATGGCGGCGTCCAGGAGCCGTTCGTGCCGGATGGTTTCAAACGCTTTTAAAAGGTCCAGGAAAACCGAAGTGGACGCCCAGGCTTCGGGGGCCTGGTAACGCTCGCCCTGGACCGTGGCCCATTCGCTCCAGACAGACTGCTTCCAAACAGCACGGTTGCAGGCTTTGCCTTTGCTGGCCCAGAAGAAGGCACGGTCGTTCGCCTTCTCCCAGGAAGCTGAAATCGAGCGTCTGAGCCGAGCCTGCACGCGGGCGACGAGGGCAATCAGGGCTATCGGGCGCAGACCGCCGAGGCGTTTTTGGAGAAGCATGATTTTTCTTGACATGAGAGGCCAATCGGCCTGCCGCTCGCACATCATGATAAGATCGATGAAGGCCTCCAGACCTGCATCGTCAAGGTGAAGCAACTGACGAGGCTTCAAACTGTCGAAAGCACAAGCTGCGCGCGCCTTAAAAGTCTTTAAAACTGCACGCATGGTTTCGACACTGGGCCTGGGAGGACGCTCACCTAAGTCCTCTGGCCAATCCAAATCGGGGCGAGCGTCGGCAACGCACCACCACTTTTGCCACTCAGCGACAAGAATCTGCATTTCTCCCGCGATGTCGGCCGTTTTGCAGGTGGCCGTGAGAGACGATGACTGGAAGCCAAGAGGAAGCTTGCTCGCAGCGTGCAAGGCCCCAGCTCCAGCGTCGAGCTGGGCTTGGACCCAAGTGGAAAACTGGTCGTTGGATGCTCGAGCGGCCTCCCGAGCAAAATACTCCGAACGATAACTGGCGAGCTCCGAAAGCGCAGCAGCGAACGGCAGCGGCAGCACGGCGGCGCGAGCGACGCAGACGAGCCACGGCTGGAACTCGGCTGCCTGCAGGACGGCGGTGGGCGCAACCCGAATCAACTTGGAAGCCTCACGAAGCGATTGCGCCCACTGCATTCCAATCGTGCGCGCCATAAACATAAAACAAATGCTGGTCTTACGCATCCAGACGGCGGTGGGCGACAACCCAGGAAAACGAGGGGCAGAGGCTCTCGACATCGGCACCTTGACCAACTTAGGGTCGTTCGCTCGCCCGGCGCACCGGTCGGCGTCGGCGGCCTCGATCTGATAAACATCGGCTAGCTGAGCCTCAGCCTGGGTGGCAAAAAAGCGCCACGCCTGATCCAAGGTGGCAGTTTGCATATTATCGCGTGCATCTTGCCAGCCCTGGGAAAAATCTTTGTTGGTGCAACCCGCCGGGGCCTCAATAGGGAAGCACTTGGGAGCCTTCATGATCTGCACCAGCGGTTTGTTACGACAGCTTTCGAGAATTAGCTTGACGGGCCTGTGGGGCTTCGTAGGCATGCCAAGCAAAGTGAAAGCGCGAGCCTGAACAAAGTGAGGACTGACAACATAGTAATCTAAAATATTATGGGACGGCGTGACAGTGCCAAACTCGGGGGCGACCACACGGCCGCCTACGAGAGAGAGAAAACCAGACGACTCGAGCACAGGAGGGGAGAGGTTAAAGTCGCCTGCGACAATGAAAGGCATGGCCATCGCGTGCAGGCGCTGCGCTACGAGCCCCAGCACGTGCAGGTTGGTCGCGTTGAGCCCCGAGCCCGACTCCAAGTAGAGGTAGACCCACGCGAAACCGCCGTCGAGCACGCTAGAGCAGCAGTGGACCACGGCACGGCCAGCGGCGAGCACCGGGCTACCGAGCGCCTCACACGCAGCTAGTCCATGACCTTTTCGCACCATCTGGATGCAGCCGCCCGAACCCGAATATCCAGGTAGAGCGCCATGGGCAGGGTGAGCGACAGCCAGCCAACCCATTTGGCCAAGCTTGGCCTCCGCATCAGCACACTGGTCAGGGCGCAGGTGAGTTTCCTGGACAGCCAAACAATCAACATCGCGAACCTCGGGCTCGGCCAATAGGGTGAGCAGACTGGCGTA